TATACTAATTATGTAATGGACATTTCAAATATTATAGAGTAAATTAGAAAAATAAATTTTATGTGACTAATCTCATAAAAACCTATATAATAATTTATAAACAGTTTTATCAAACATCACATATAAATCCATGTTTGATAAATATTTACCATTTATATCATTAGTTTTTTTTCTCATAGAGATCTATATTAGCCAAACTTTAAACACTCTTGGATCTTAATAGTAAATATATTATTATTTTTTATCATGTATAAATTTTTATTTTATACAACATTTTTTTTCATTTTTTATACGAGATTATTTTTTTAACATTGAGAGATCAATACCGTTATCGGTAAAATATTTTCATTCTTTGTGATTTTCTATAATTATGTTGACAAAATAATCATGTTTATAGATTTTGAGTTTTTGTTTATTTGGTATGGTTGTGAATATCTTAAATTTATAAATTAAGATTTCTATATCTTTTTTAATTGAGAAATTTCAGAAAATGCCACTTTTCAAGTGTCACTTTACAAAAATGTCACATTTTTGAAATCTTTACAAAAATACCACTTTTTCAAAATTATTTTTTCTTTATATTATTTATGTTTGGGTTAATTATGTTCTATTAGGGTTTAGTTTTGAGTGTTTAGGGGGTTTATGTGTCAAAACATTTTTTAGGGTTTAGAATTTTAAGATATAAGCTTTATAAATCTATAATTAGTGGCATTTTTGTAAATGGACACCCCTAAGTAGCATTATTGCAAATATGCACACAAAAAATGGCATTTTTGTAATTACCCCTTTTTAATTTTGTTTAATTTTGTTTATTCAATACCAAATTAAATTAAATTTTATTTTTCGTTCACTTTTTTACGGTTTATACTCTCAATATTTTTTTTATTTAATTTTATAATTAATTTTATAATTAATTTTAACTATTAATTTTGTTTATCTAACTAGTTTCGACTATTAGAAATTTACCTTTTTTTTTAATTAGTTTGAAATATAGAAAATTTCCTTTTTACTATTTTGTTAGTTAATTTACAATTATTTTATTCATTTCTATTTTTTTATTTTTATTTTTAAATAAATTTTAATTGTTAACACATGTCATCATCTATTTAGTATTAGCCACATGTCGCGATCTGGTAAATTAGAATTTTGCTTACGTGTCATGCTCTCATCGCGCGCACCCTCTTTATATAATAAAATGACAAAAATTGGATAAATACTCTCAATTTGAGTATAAGTTTATTTGAAAACAATATAATATTAATTTATTTAGTTTATTTGAAGTCGAAATTTTATTACCAAATATTATTTCGCCAATTAAATATCCTATGAATATTTGTTATGTTATTTAAAATTTTCATAATATTTTAAACATATTAAATTATATCTTAAATGTATTGAATTGAATTAACTAGTTATATTTATTT